TGCTCGCTTGGACATGGCTGACCTTCGCGTGAAGTTCTGGGAAGGAGAAATCGCGATTTCGGGGTCGCGAATCTGCCGAGCAGAAGTGGGATTTGGAGAAGAAGGAAGAAGCGCCGAGTCAGAGCATACTAGAAGAAGATTTGGGAGAGAAGAGTAAGCTTCGATCAACTTCGTGTATCTCCTTCGCGGGGAAGAGGAAATTTGGGAAGAACCCTAATTTCGTTTTCTAGAAAGAGATGGAGAAGATTTGTTAGCCCTAATTTCGTTTTCTGGAAATAGATGGGGATTTTTGGAAGCCTCGATAGATCAGGTATATGGGGAAAGTTTTTAAATTTTTTTTAATAAATAAATTATTAAGATGACGTGTCAATTTTTGCTTAGCTGTCGCTGATGTGGTTGATGATTTGGCGCCTCGTCAGCCAACCGCCAAATAAGTTGACGGAGTTATTAACACCGTCAAAGTTTCTAACGGAAATGGCTATATCTGGCACACAACATCTTTCAAAAGTGGCTATTAGTGGTATTTCGCCAAATGTGGCTATAAGTGGCACAAAGGTGAAAGTTTTGGCTATGCAAGTGTATTTTGCCATTAAAATTTGATGCAATTGGAAATTTAATTTATGATGTTATAAATAAACTTTATGACAATAAAATTTGAAGGAATAAGCTGCAAAATTACCTTCGTGAATTTTGAGGTTTTGAGAGGTTTTTTCTATTCAAAATCAAAACTAGGTGCGTTACGGCCTCCACTTATGTGTGTGGGTCGCCAGGCTCTTGACGATCAGACGATGGGAGCTGCATCAAGACGGCATTGAGATTCCATAAAAAAAATTATTCATGACAATATTTTTCATAGGGAGGAGACAAGACAAAGGAGAGAAGAAAGAAGAGGGCGAGAAACAGCTGCAGCAGCAGCAGGCAAAGGAAGGAAGGAATGAAACTACTGGTTTTGGAAATTAGCCAATCGTCTCCTTCTCCGCTCTCCACTGCGCCCTTGGCCAGTTCGCCCCCTCTAAAAAAATTCCATTTTCCGGTTCTCCCTATGTTTCTCTACCCAGTCTTACGCAAAACTCCCTCTCCAATGGATTCAATTAATTTGTCATTCTCTCATTCATTTCTCTCCCTCTCTCTCTCCTCCCTCTCCCCAATTGCCCGCCATTGCTACTGCTTCTTCTTCTTCGTCCTCCTTTTGGCCTCTGGGTTTCTCGTCCTGGGCCATGGTTCGCCGTATTCTGGAAGGTGGGTTTTGCGATTCCGGTCGAGATGGAAACTGGGTCTCTGTTTTTTTAGTTCTTCTCTGATATCTTTCAGTGTTCTTCTGTTGTGATGATTTTTCAGTGACCAATCCGCCGTCTCCGAGTAAGCTTCCTGAGCCGCGCGGTACCGCTTCGCCTTCTCCGATGAGTTCTTCCGCATTGTTCTTCTTCGCCGGCGTTCTGGTCGTCCTCGTTATTGTGTTGATCATCATCACCCTCTTCTGGAAGTTCATGAAATTGAACGAGATGACCACCAAGTTCGCCAAGAAAGACAATTCGCTGCCGCCTCAAGGTAATAATAACAAACGTTTAGCAAATCGATCTTTCATAAACTTGTTTTTTAAGTTCTGAAGTAATCGTCACTCTTTGAATTAAGTGGTTGAACGTACCCGCTTCATCAGAAAGTCAGAACGGGTTGATTCGATCCCAGCGCCATTGGATCGATGTAGGCTCCAATATTTACAGACATGTCTCTGTAAATATTAGCGAATTCGATGGTTAGATTGATGCGTTGTAATTTATAATATAGTAACGCCCCCTTGATTCAACTATCAACAACATCCCGTCCTACGATCAAATAATGCAAGTTCACGGCTATGGTCCACTGACCAAACCCCAATTGTTATATCACTCTACATTAAGCTAGAATTTACAAATTGTTGTCACTAGATTGATTTTTTTTTCCCGGTTGAAACCTGATAACTTATTAATACACTGACTAATTGATCGTTGCATGATTTTTCTTTTTGACAACTATGTAGGAGTCGCATCCGAGGTTCTGAGTGGAACTCTCAGAACGATTAGCTACTTCAATTTCCAGACGCTAAAGAAGGCAACCAAGAATTTTCATGCTGATAATCTCCTGGGAAGAGGTGGATTTGGCCCGGTTTATCGGGTAAATTTACAATTCGTTTTTTTTTTTGTTTAAATGATAGTATTGATGTATTGTGGTTACATTTTCTGTTAAGATGGCAAACGATTTGCATCGAGTCATAAAGGTTAATAGGTCACAAGTAAGTTGGTCAATCATATCGAAATATGATCAAATGAGTCAGGTTTGGGTCATACGAGTCATGATTTGAGCGGGGAGGTTACAATAGGGTTATGTCATATATGGGTTTGGTTAGTGTGGTGGTTTCTGGGTTGGGTTAAGAAGCCCCTTGTCTTTTTTCCCCTCTATTTCCAAAGTTAGATTTTTTTTTAACCGATTGCACAGGGCAAACTGAGAGACGGTCGAACAGTGGCCGTGAAAAAGCTGTCGTTGGATAAATCACAACAAGGAGAATCAGAGTTCCTAGCGGAAGTGAGAATGATCACTAGCATTCAACACAAGAACTTGGTACGTCTACTCGGATGTTGTTCCGATGGGGAACAACGCCTACTTGTCTATGAATACATGAAGAACAGGAGCTTGGACCTCATAGTTTATGGTAGGTAACAACTGCTTGATTGGAAAGAGTTTTATGTTATATCTAGTCGTTGCCGTCTTTCTGGAATTGAGTCCATAGTTTACTAGGCTACTCTTGTGTTGTATTGTTTTTTAATCGCTAAAGTTTGGTGGAAAGTTTCAAGCTTCCATGGCTGCAAACAATTCTTATTATTGTCGTCTCCCCTGAATTCCATATGCATGATCTACCTAAAAGAATGGGCTGTGCATGAGCATCTTTAGTCGAAATTTGATTGCTATGCGGTTTCACATTTGGGTTTATTCTTTGTTGTTGTCCTTATATGATATGACCTAATCATGAGAAGTTAAACTAAATGCCATGCCAAGAAAATCGAATCTATTAAACCGACGGAGTCTGCCGTCTACGGTTCAAAATTTGCTGATACAATCATAAAACAAACCATGTTAACCGAACGATTTATCAACAGAGTCCAGAACAGTAAGAGGACAATTGTGTTATGTTTCCCTTGTATTATTTTGGACTTGATGATAGTTTGATGAAATGGGGAGTGAATATATATTTATAACCAGGGAACAACAATCAATTCATGGATTGGAACACAAGGTTCCAGATAATCCTCGGCATAGCTCGAGGCCTACAATACCTGCACGAAGATTCCCCTCTGAGAATCGTTCACAGAGACATCAAAGCGAGCAATGTTCTCCTAGACGACAAGTTCCAGCCTCGGATCAGCGATTTCGGGCTGGCCAGATTCTTCCCTGAAGACCAAGCTTATCTCAGCACCACATTTGCAGGAACCTTGTAAGTCCTTCTGAATCAGCTTAATTACTAGTGGTATCTCATAACAGGGATTCATTCCACTTTTGACTAATCTTTGTCGTTCATCAGGGGGTACACAGCCCCAGAGTATGCGATCAGGGGCGAGCTGTCCGAGAAGGCCGACATCTACAGCTTTGGCGTGCTCCTTCTCGAGATCATCTGTTGTAGGAAGAACACAGATCTCAGCTTACCATCGGAGCAGCAGTACCTTCCTGAATACGTAAGTGTGCCTAGCGAGTTACATGAGGCCACCCTTTACCGAGTTTTATGAGGCCTAGCCATTCCAATGGTGTACATTACCTTTTCTGTTGCAGGCGTGGAAGCTATACGAGAAAAACAAGGTGAGTGAGCTGATAGATCCGAGGCTTCAACAACAAGGGATCGAGGACAGAGACGTGGTGCACGTGATCCACGTGGCGTTCTTGTGCCTTCAGCCGCTGGCGAACTTGAGGCCGCCGATGTCTGAGGTGGTGGCGATGCTAACGTGTAAAGCTGATACAGGGACACCCCTAAAGCCAGCATTCTTGGATAAGCGGAGGAGAGCAGAAGGGAGCTTCTCTTGGGATGTAATCTCAGAGGCTTTCCCTTCTCCCTATGGGAGTCTGGAATCTCATCCTGCATCAAGAGCAAAGTAAGAGGCTGATAAACAAAGAGGTAGCTTGATGTTCAAGTAAGCTAAAAAAAAAAAAAAACAAAGCAAAGACATTGTAATTAATCCCTAATCCGGAAGACATCCAGTATTCTTGTGAAGTTCATGAAGTAGGGAGTAAGTAGAACTAGGGTTTTCTTCCTTTTCCCCCTTTTTTGAAATTTCACTAGGACCCTCTCAATTTCATAGGTTATAGGAAGTCCACACAACATTTGAACTAACACCTTGTGTAGAGAGAAACAGGTGTGTTTCCCCCCCAATCAAGTGATGAAATGTTCAAAATTTCATCCAACTATGTTCTGAATCCGATTGATTAATTCGTAATAAGCACATCTGGAATGACTCACATACATAATAAATGCCAGATTGATGAGGAACAAACAGATTTCCGACATACATGACATGTGAGCCATTAAAGACATGGTTACTAACCATGGTTGACTCTGTTGCTGTTAGTAGTATATTTGGAAGATCTCTCTATTGCGGGAACTATAAATGGATAAGCAACATGATACAAGGACTTGTCCAATTGGAAATAATAGTACAAAGATACACTTACTAAACGAACATAGTATAGAGACTAAAGACTTTATCATTAACTGAAAAACTGTCCAAATCCTTCTACCTCATGACTCTATTTATAAGAAGATTGATGTACAAAATAGAATCTTACAGTCCCACTGTGCAAAATAGAATCTTACAGTCCCTAATGGACAGTACAGAGGCCTTGAACTTTCAGCCTGAACTGAAAACCAACACATGAATGTATGAGAAATATTACCCCACCCTGACCCTCTTACTACAGGATATGGTATGAGCAGTAATGATTACCTCTTCTGGAGTCTCAGCCAAAGAAGCCTGATCAGGTTACGGGAATTTCTTCCTGTAATGCCTTGCAAGAAATGCTATTAACTGCAATATAAGGAAGAAAGAAATTTGACCAGACATATTTTGCAACCAATCAGTACTTTGCTCACAAAACCACAAACTGATAGCTGCCCTTTTACCTTGATCTCTTCAGCACTGAAACCCTTGAAATGGTTTCCTTCCTATAGAACAAGAGATACATTCACCAGAGCATAGATCTTATTAACATGTATATTTAGCACGGGAATTCTGTGCTGCTAATGATGCAATTTGTACAATGATGACACACTAAAACTGCAGTGGTAACCCCTTTTACAAGCAAAAAGCCCTGCGTTATGAAGCAAACAAGATGCCTCTCAAGTCTCAAGGCATTCGAAATTCTTGCCACCTAAGTTACCAAGCTCACCATATTGCCTCAAAGCCTTCAAATACCCTGTCACAATATCATCTTCTCGAGTTAGGGATCAGAAAATGTATGTCAATCGACAACAAGCAGAAAACACCAATCTTACCTTGGCAATGGCAGCACATCGTGCACCATTTCTAACCCTCTTCTTATTATTATTAAAACCTGGTAGCAAGTCTCACAACAGAAATCCACCTAGGATCACCATTGAATCCGAAATCAACTTCATCGAATTACCCCTTCAGCTCCTCAGCTGACTTGTCAATTTCAGATGGCACGTTGAGTAAAATGTAGCTGAGATTTCCACAGGGAGAGACAAAGTGAAAGGATCAGAGGGAAACCCTTGCTTAACGTCGCCATAGCCATGAAACACTGCTTTCTCCACTGCTCCAATTGTTCCGGAGCTTCCAGCAACAACTCAAACTCGAATCTTGTCACTTGATGAACCAATCCAGAATCCTTTACAGCTCCCCTAAGAAATCCCTCATTCCTGTGCCATCTCCACCAGCGAATCGCTGAGTCAAACTCACATGACCTAGCTTCAAACTCGTCGCGAAATCGACAATCCCTCCTTCCGCAATCGCGAATTCAGTCGATCCGCCTCCAATATCTACGAGCAACGCTCTCTTTTCCCTGACCGGAAAAAATGAATCACTCTGGAGTATGCGAATCTCGCCTCCTCTTCTCCGGAGAGAACGGAAACGTTGAGCCCGGTGGAGGCGGTTTCGATGAGCTCGGCTCCGATGGCGGCCTCCCGGACAGCGGAAGTGGCAATGCAGCGAGTTCGTTAAGGTGGCATTCAGCGGGCGCGAGGATTTCGGTGAGTTGGCGCCTGGCGAAGGCAATGGAGAGCTCGGATGATCGCGCCGGAGGAAATTTCCGGGGAGGAGATTGATGCGGCGGCGGAGTCACTGCCCAGGCAGACGCGACCAGGGTGGCGATCGACGGCGAGGAATCGTCCCGACGGCGGGTGGAATCGACGATGACCATCTTCATGGAGTTGGTGCACATGACGATGACGGCAAATAGATGCTCTGGCAGCAGGAGCACCTGCCGGAAACCAAAAGGAACGGTGAAGCAAAATGCGAAACGCCTATAAAAATACGCGAAATGGAAATGGCAACCTAAAGCGGAAACGCCGGAAGTAGAGTGACGCATGAAACTGAAACGCCTCGCAGAAACGGAATGAAACGAATAAGTCTCGGTTCTACATACTGAAACGTGAAACCGCAAGGCGAGAAAATTAGGGCTGCAAAATAGCCAAACTTCTCAAGAGCGCCTCGACGCTTAATTCGGAAGAGTTCGTTAGTAGACGAGCCAAATCTAAACTCATCCTTGTTCGAGTCATGAGACTCGCAAACTATAATTTTTAACCTTATTATTGAGTGAGTGAAAATTGCTTATGGAGTTCTGCCATTTTTTCTGAATTTTCTTGTTGTTTTAGAGTTATGTCTTATGATTTATAATTTTACTGATTCTTTCACACAATACATTTACTATGTTATGTACCACTCGTCGCGAAGTACAAGGAAGCGTACCATTTCTAGTATAAGGTAGCGTACCACTCGTCGCGAAGTACAAGGAAGCGTACCATTTCTAGTATAAGGTAGCGTACCATTTCTAGTACAAGGAAGCGTACCACTCGTCGCGAAGTACAAGGAAGCGTACCATTTCTCGTCGCGAAGTACAAGGAAGCGTACCATTTCTCAAGAGCGCCTCGACGCTTAATTCGGAAGAGTTCGTTAGTAGACGAGCCAAATCTAAACTCATCCTTGTTCGAGTCATGAGACTCGCAAACTATAATTCTTAACCTTATTATTGAGTGAGTGAAAATTGCTTATGGAGTTCTGCCATTTTTTCTGAATTTTCTTGTTGTTTTAGAGTTATGTCTTATGATTTATATTTTACTGATTCTTTCACACAATACATTTACTATGTTATGTACCACTCGTCGCGAAGTACAAGGAAGCGTACCATTTCTAGTATAAGGTGAAATGATAGGTAAGTGTTTACTGGAAGCACCAAGATATGAGGAAAATCGAACCGGTATATTTCATTATTGTTCAACAATCGAAAGTCGTAATTCTTATGTTAAGGTGACACTTTGTATTCAAATTTCAACCCACCAATCTAATCCATCACTTAGAAACCCAATTAATCTAAATCCATTTAAATCCAATTCATTTCATTCAAATTCAAATAGTTTTTTTTTTACAAGGATTCATGGATTGGATTGGCGGATTGTCGGCAAACTATAGTTTAGTACCTATATTTTATAATTTGGTACCTAAATCAATTTAGATTGATTGATTCATAGATTAGATTCATGGATTATTGATAAATTATAGTTTAGTACATATATTTTTGGATGCAGTACTTATATTTTTTTTAACAAAAAAAGTCATTGGAAAAGTTTGTTTTGATATATTAATTTTTTTTTTATCATGACAATTTATTACCTAAGCTTTTCAAAATTAGCATATAAGTCCAATTAATGCTTAGGTTCACTTTGTTCATGAATCCACCCATTCATGAATAAAATCCATTGCACACACCTCAAGGTTGTCAACCCGCGGGTTGATCCGGACCCGGTCGAGCTAGTGGGTCAAGGGTTAATAGGTCAACCGTTTTAGGCCGGTTTGGCCCGGAAATATAGAAATAGTCATTATATTGCACTTATCCTCATAAATTATATCAAATCTTATCTAACATATGAGTTATAACATATAATATTACACCAAAATAACATATCGTACTTAGATCCAACATATAGTGAAAATTCACACACACTTATATAACATAAATATTCAAATGTTCAACTTAGTATTCCAAAGATTGAGTTAGGCGAAAAGGAAAATTGGAAAATAGGCGCATTTCGTAAACTAAAGAAAAAAATGACACAATTTGACCTCCAACCCGATATCTAATAGCGGTCGGCCCGACGGGTGTGTGCGGCCCATTTTTCTCACCGGGTCAGGATCAAATTGGGTCGACCCGTGGGTCAACTGCGGGTTGACAACCTTGACACACCTAGACGAAGCTTATTAAAAAAGTGCAGCCCAGCTGGAGAGAAACACACAGATGAAAAAGATGCATACATAGGAGCAACTGTACGAGCCACTTCTGCTGTTATTTATCATCATCCATACATTATTGTTGGGCTAACAGCTAACTAATCATTTTTGCAGAACTTGTAGTTCTCGAACCTCATGAAGCAGCTGCCCATGTTGACCCGGGCGCCAATCCTGTCGAAACAGCCGTCGGAGATTACCGCGAGGGCGGCGTCGAGGCAGGTCTCGCAGTGGGCGATGTCCTTGAAACACGACACGGCACCGTAAGCCGTTGCGCCTCTATACGACGCACGAAAGCAGCGCTTCTTCGCAGGGTGGTTGATGAGCTCCGGCGTCGCGCTCAGCAGCTTCCTCACGAGCGCCGCGATCGCACCGGCGGTGGGGTCGCCGTCTTTTATCCTGATCGGGCTGCAACTTGGAACGCCTGCAGCTTCCATTGCACGATGATCTGTTTGCTTCCTGCTGCTCTCGCCACTAGTGCTGCTGCTGTTGCAAACCAACCAGATGATTGCCCATACTATTATAGAACTTGCTCCTCTCATCATCATCCTCCTCCTCCTTCTTATCTTTCTTTCTGACTTCCTTTCCTTCCTTTCTTTAATTGCTACATATAGCTAGCTGGTTATGGCTATACGTTCCGGTCCGGTTAAATTGGCCCCAAGTGATCTGGTTCCGGTCGGGTTTTTTCGAGAATATAAGGATTGGATTGAATACTGTCAGGTTTTGATCTGATCCGGTCTCAATTCGGTCTTCACTCTAGATTGAGCTTGTGGGGATTTGAGTGGCTTGAGGGGAGATTTGAGTGGCCTGAGGACTAAAAGGGTGAGGAGGTTAAATTTTGGGTGTTGGGCTTTCTTATCCGGTTTTCGGTCCGGTCTCAAAAGGTTTTTTACCTCAAATCTAGGCTCGAAAATTGAATTGGATTGTTTGCTATCCGGTTCGGATACAGTCTCGCTCCGAGTTATACGATCCGGTTTCTGGTAAAATAAAAAAGCTGGTACTAAATAGCCACGCCTATAGCTAGCTAGAGAGTTTCATGGATTAGGGCTTTAATTAACCCCTTTTTAAAAGCGATGCATTTCTTGTCATTGTTTGTTGAAAAATATGCTGCATGCTGCCGAATGCCGAACACAGTTTGTTCAAGATCACTAAAGGTCTTAGATGTGAGTTATCAATAATTACGTTGACAGATAGAGTTATGATTGGTTACGGGACTAAGGTGCGTATGAGTGTTATGAAAATGCAATACTCAGATATCTATACAAGAGTTTTAAACTGAGCTTGAAATGACATCTTAATCATTAAAGAAACAAAACAAAAAAACAATTTGGTATGATGATAAAGTCTTCTCAATTTGGTTACATTCGAGGTGCTGGGTGATACAGACAAATTAAAGGAGGGTCAATCTCCTAAGAACGAAAATAACATATTGAAGTGATTATCATCTTGTTCGTGAAAAACTGAAATAAAGTTTTTTTAACCTAAAGTCAATTCACGTTTAGCTTAATTGCAGGGGTATTAGGGCACAAAGGATTCATCAATAAATGTTTCATAAATGCAAGAAGGGACGACAACGGAAGGATGTCCGGCGATACACTGAAAGAAGCGTCGAGAAAGTTGATGGAGGGAAAGAAGCGTCGAGAAAGTTGATCGGTGACGGTTGCTAGGTTTTTTGGGAGACGATGGAGGGGGAAATGGTTTTTGGGAAGACGAACATCAAGACTTTGCACTCAACAAGAGACCGGGTGAGACGATGGCAGGAAACGCCGAGAAAATTGATCGGAGATGGTGGAAGGGAAGGTTTTTGGGAGAAGACGGAGGAAAAGGGTTTGGGGGAGACGAATCGTTCTGCGAAGGAGGGTGGTTGATTTCTCTCCCCCAGCGAATTCTTTCCCTTTTCAAAACCCGATTGACGTCAGCGCATTAGTGGGCAGGCAGATCCAGTGTGGGCACTCTAAAGGAGAAGCGAAATTGACAACCCCTTAGGAGTTGTCACGATATCCAGTCCCTTAGCATTTATAAAATGCAATTAGGATAGTTTAGGTAGCAAAGCACTGTATATTAGACAATTGGATAGGTTTCTTAATTGTTTCCCCCACCTTTTCTCTCTCTTGTTTCCTATGTAAACAGACCATAAAGCCACCTTCTTTAACTGGATTATTATTATAGAGAGTTACTATTTGCCGCACGTGTAATTACTATTTGCCGCCCGTAAATTACACTAAAAAGACAATTTTGCCCTCCAAATTTTTCTTTATATTCTATCCTCTGGTTTGGTTTTTTAAACTACATACACACCATCCGACCACCAACCCCCCACAATCACCATAGCCAGAGTCACGGCCACCGGACGACAACCTAAGTCGCCGGCCACCGGACCAACGTCAGCATAATTCGCCGGCCACTGGACGGCAGCCGTACCACATCGTCGGACCAGCGAATAAGGTAAACCCCGTGCACTGACCTCTTGTATTTTGCCCGTCCGCTCGCCGGCATCAGATGGCGCCCGACGCCGGCGAACGGACGGGGTCCGCAAAGCGTGGATATTAATGAGCTCAAAGCGATCTCTTGGAGTAGGGAAGGCAGTTTCCAGTTAGTAGATCCAGTTCGACGAGAGGTACCAAAAGAAGCTGCTCTTGACGCTTATAACCTTGTGGTATAGTATAGTTCTTACTCGCATCAAGCTATAGTCTCCGTCGCCTTCTTCTTATTCGACTCTTTGGCTTTTCTCCTTGTCGTACTGACTAACCGCGGTATTCCGATGAGCGGACGGGGTCCGCCTCCGGCGACCGCCGGCAGTGTTTTTTTTTTTTAATTTGATACATATTATTAATTCTAGAGCTAATAATTTATATTTAATTTATTGCTTTTATTGTTATTTTACATAGTTAAATTCGTATGTAGTTTGAATTAAGCGATTGTATTTTGTTGTAGCGCTAATTAGTTTATTGTGTTTAGATTTAATTCGTAGATTTAAAGAACTTTAATAATTTATATTTTAATAATTTTCTTATAGTCAAATTATTGTTATTTTGTAGAGTTAATTAAATTATTGTATTAGTTTAATTTTGTAGAATCAATTGAAGC